ATTCACCACCCACAACTAAATTCCCTGTGTTCAGATGAATTTTATCTCCATAAATTTTTTTTTTTTTTTTTGTACTGGGGATTGAACTCAGGACCTTGCACTTACAAGGAAGGTAGCAGAACCACTGAACTAAATCCCCAGCCCCTCCATAATTTTTTTTTAAAAAGTATTTGCCTTCAGGGACTTTATATATTAGTGAGATATCCTTCTCCACAAATTCCACTTTTGCTTAAGGTAGGTAAAAGATTTTTTCATCTCATGTAAAGATCTCCAAATCACTCTATAATTCCTCTCTATAATTAGCTCTCGATTTCAGAATGACTGGCAAATTTAAAGTCACAAAACATCTATGTTGCCAATTCTATTATTTTCAGTCTTCATTTTATTTGAACTCTCAGTAAAATCTACCTCAATCAGTTCTTCACTTTAAAAATTCTTTTCAGGGGGCCGGGGATTTAGTGGTTCCACCACCTGCCTTGCAAGCACAAGGACCTGAGTTCAAGCCCTGGTACCAAAAAAACAAAAGCAAACAAAAAAAAAAAAAAATTATTTTCAGGCAAAAAAAATCTTTTCAGGGCCAGGGATTTAACTCAGTGGTTCCAGTGCCTGCCTCACAAGCGCAAGGACCCAAGTTTGATCCCCAGTACCAAAAAAATGAAAATAAAAATAAATAAAAATAAAAATTCTTTTATATGTTTTTACAATCTGCTTGGCCTAGAAAATCTGAGATCAGTAGTTCCTGGAATATATCAAGAAGTGGGGTGGGCCAGGGATTTAGCTCAGTGGTTCTGCCACCTGCTTCATATATACAAGGTCCTAAATTCAATCCCTGGTACCTAAAAAAAAAAAAAAAAAAGAAGTGGGATGTAGTGGTGGGATGGTAATAATGTTGCTTGCTGCATGAAGAGGACTAGGCTTTCCACCTGACCTTTGCTCCTCCCCCAATTCCCTTAATTGCAACTTAGTATTGAGATGTCACATTCAGAAGGTGATAGGACCAGTCCTTATGTATGAAGCACAGCTGTGGAGTGGCACAGCGAGAGAAGGGGCATACCAGAGCTGCATTATTGGCCAGAAGTGCCAGATTAGATGTCACACTCCCCATGAAAAGGGGGAAGGCTATAATAAATCCTGTAATGTGGGCTAAAACTGGACTAAGCAGTCCAATTTTGGACTAACACAAACATTTTTAGTATTTATAAATGTCAAAAGCCCAGCAATATATGTATGTAGACATATTCCTTGATCTATCTACTAAAAGGGCTTAGAAGAAACAACTGAATCAACAAGTACATATAGCACCCAGATCGTGGTTCCTAAATATCATTCTCTACTAAAAGAAACTAGGGATCTCAGAAAAATGATTGAGTCTACAACTGGAGAAGAAAAAATATATGGGGTAGCAGCACAGACAACTTTTTGGACCAGCAACTAAGTGCTCAAGAAAGGGTGAGGATATGCCCAAAGACATAAGAGCCAGGCTGAAGGTATTCCCACCAGCTAAGTATAAGACAATTCAAGCATCAAAATAAATGAAAGATTTAACAAGATTGTAATTCTCAGAGTTAAACAAGAACCCAAGAGTCTGTACTGATTTAAAAATTTTAAATGAAAATATAGATACACAGTAAGGAAGAAAAGAAAGCTTTACCCCATGACATGGGGGTAGGTAAAAGCAAAAGAATGAATCTAAAGTAAAGGAATTTTTCAAAAGACCCCACTTTGTCTCTCAATAATTAAATATCACAAGGTTGTCTGGTGCTGTGGTTTATATCTAGATGCTCTGTAAGAGCCTCCCACACTCACAGGTGGGGGTGCTTTGGGAAGGTGATTAGATTATGGGGGCTTACAGCAGATTTAGAAGGTGAGGTCTGGTCAGAAGAGGCAGGTCACTAAAGACACAGCCTGAAAGTGTTTATCTTCCTCCCCAACACCTGTCTTCATCTCTCTCTCTCTCTCTCTCTCTCTCTCTCTGCTTCCTGGACGCCATGACATGAGGAGCCTATTCCCGTGCTATGCCCCTCTCCCATGCCCCCCTACCTTGGAGTCACCAGAGTATGGACTGAAACCTCTACAAACTGTAAGCCCAAATAAACTGCTCCTTCAAGTTGAAGGTATCAGCTATTGTGTCTCAGTGATGAGGAAAGTGACCTGTTGCAGTTGTCAATTTATCACAATAATAAATTCAGGCAAGAACCATTAATGGATGCTAAATCCATTGGTAAAAATATGGTGAGGAAAAGATATCTTCATAAAGTCATAGTATTTCCCTATAAAATACTTTGTAATATTTTAGATAATAAATATATAAATGCTTTAAATTTGTTTCATAGTTAATTTTACTGTAGAGAAATCCAGCAGACATCACAACCAAGTAATAAAATACACCACCAATAAAGGGACAGAAGTTAACAAAATGTGGGCCTAACATGATGCAATAAGCACAGTAATATTTTTATGGTATTCTTGCCCAAAAATGCACAAATCACAAGGAGACATCAGTCAAACCCAAAAGGAAGGACATTCTACAAAGTAACTGACCCGAATTCTTGAAAAGTGTCAAGGTGTGACACAAGGTGTGTCTGTTTTAGACTAAGGAAACATGATAGCTGAACGTAACACATGATCCTGAACTGGATCTGGACTAGACACAGGATGTTACTGTACTGGGTCAAATCAAGGAAATGCAAATGGAGTTGGTGGATCTATAGTAATATTAGATCAGTATGTATTTCTCAATTGATGGCATGCTCAGGTTATATGGAAAAGTTCTTACACTTAAAAACACACTGAAATATTAAAGAGTAATGAGGCAACACATCTGCCATTTATTCTTAAATGGTTTGGAATATTCATAATTGAGTTTTCTTGGTGAAAGGTATATGGAGCTGTAAATACTTTTTCTAGAACTTTTATGTAAATCTGAAGTTTAAGTTTTAAAAGGGTTAAAAATTTAAAATACAACCAGTGGAATGTAAACTACTAAATCTGAGCCTATAGTAAATAAATGGAGAGACATAAACCAAAAGACATAAAAGAAATGAGTTATAAAATCACAGCATAATAATAACTGTTTCAAAGCCAGGCATGGTGGTTCATGCCTGTAATACCAGCACTCCGGAGACTTACACAGGAGAATCACTCTGAGTTCGAGGCCAACATGGGCTATATAGGGAGTTCAAGGCCAGTCTGAACTATGTTGTGAGACCCTATCTCAAAAACTAAACAAAACAGGCCTGGGATTTAGCTCAGTGGTGCCACCTGCCTCACAAGCATAAGGTCCTGAGTTTGATCCCAGTACCAGGAAAAAAAATTAATAGTAATAATTGATTCAAGCAAGAACCATCAAATGGATGCTAAAAATAATAGCTGATGGCACATGCTGGTAATCCCAGCACTCGGGAGGCTGAGGCAGGAGGATCACTGTGAGTTCGAGACCAGCCTGGGCTACATAGTGAGTTCCAGGTCAGTCTCAACTACATAGTGAGACCCTGTCTCAAAAACAAAAACAAAACAAAATAATAGCAGAAAGTTTAACGTGGAACAATTTGCAAAAATCTCAAAGTTATCACCCTACAACTTGATTTTTAATCAGAAAGGGAATGTAACTGCAGTAGAGAAAACTGGAAGACATCACTTTAATCAAGAGATCCAAGTTAACAGTAACAATGGAACAAACAGCACATTTGCCCCAATGGTGCAATGCCTGGGATAGATCACTTACATAGTTTTCCCTACAAAAATGCATAAAATGAATCTAATCATAAAGAAATATTTTAAAAATCTGACTAGCTTGTTTTCTGCAAAAATGTCAGTATCGTGAATAACAAAAAATGCTGAGAAATCCTGGCATGGGGAGGAGGGGGCTACAAAGGACATCACTGGGACAAACTGGCAAAGTTTGAGCATGGCGTATATTAGATACTATCAAATGTCCTGAATTTGATAAGAGACTCTCCTTATATAATCATAGCATTTTATTTATAATTTATATAACAGCTTATCAGAGATACTAAAGTACATGAATCATACCTGCAACGTACTCTCAAAGGGTACAGCATATACAATGTACATTGAGAAAGAAGAAATTAGAAAATCTACATGAAGAGATTGAAGAACCTAGTGTTACTGAAACAATTTTTTTTTTAAATTTCTGTAGGGCTGAGGATCCAACCTAGGGCCTCCTGCACATTACCCAAGAAGCTTTACTACTGAAGCAATCCTCCAGCCCGAAGTAATTCTATAAATTTGAAAATATTTCAACCGTAAGAATCTGAAATTATTTCAGGGCAAGAAAACACTGAGAGGCTGAGGCAGGAGGAGCACAAATTCAAGCCCAGTGTGAAGTCCCTGGGTTCAGACCCCAGGATGACAAAAAAAAAAGGTCACAATCTGATGTTACTTCAACAAAACCTGTTTGATAAGCCTCCAAAAATTTTTTTTTCCTGAGACAAGAGTCTTGGTTGGCCTCAAACTCATTGGGATCTTCCAGAGTGCTGAGATTATGGGCGTGTGTCACCATGCCCACGTAAACCTCCAAATCTTTGAGAAGTTCATCTCCCACTTTTACCAATTTCCTCTTTTAAGGAAAATCTTATCTCATTAAGAACTCTGTATGTTTTATGTTGCCACTATTTCTCTTGACAAAACCAACTAGTCCCTCTCAACCACTCTGAAATTTTAACTCTCCTGGAAAGCTCTCAATTTCACACAGTCTATGTACAAACATTCCACTCTTTGGTATCCAATACCCAAAGTAACCAAGGAGCAATTTACAATTTTACTATGTGGCAGCAGTTGAAAAATGATCAGTTCAAGATAAGAGGAAAATTCTGGGCATTTAATAAACAGAAAAGATTGTATCTGATCACTGAAATCCTATGAAACATTTACTAGCAATCTTTTTGGTACAACTTTAGCATTTTGAAAACATTAAACCTTTGACCAGTAAGCAGTTACATGACCTCATTTCATTACTGTTACTAATAATGATTACCTACCCAGTATCTCCCAATCCATGAAGAAAAATAACCTAAAAAAGAGGAGAAAATAATAAGCAACACCTAAATACATAAATCCAGCCAGAACGTTAGGCACTGTAGCTTTGGTTAAGGGAGAAAAGGGAATGAAGGTTCTTAAAGCTATGACAGAATTCCAAACACTATTTAGCAGGTTAATCTCTATATTCTCTTCCCTTTAGTTACTAAGATAATTAATGTGGGATTTTAGCACTTAAGAGGTCCCAGTTAGACATTCTCAAGTGCAAATTATGACGTTCTAAGAAAAATAATTTGTCTCTTTAGAGTCAGATCATGAGTGTCACACTACAGATTTTTTTCCATCACTAAAAAGGATTTCCGGGCGCAAAAATTAAGTTTGAAATTGTCACAGACAAGTTTCCAGGAAAAAAATCCCCAAAACAGCCTATCTAATCTCTTAAGACACTAAATCTTAAACTTCTTTCATTGAGGACGAGAGTGAAAGGTAGGATACCCTCCACAAACCAATCAGAACCGCCCG